GAGCTGTAACTGTTTAAAATTAGGCCTGATTTTAGCAAAATTTCACTGTATATCGGCACAAATGTGCACAAAGGTCACTATGTGTGATGCGTGCGTACGGCATTGTTATTGGCCATAGAGTGATTGAAAAGATTGGAAACTTGTCAAAACAATGTCAGGAACCCAAAATGTGACAAAAAAATTAATTTCTAGCTTCCATACGTTCTGCGCGCCTAAAAATGTGCACGCGTAGTGGTAAATTTCAAAAAATTTTGAAATGCTCAAAATGGCCTGAAACGTGCTCTAATTTAATCTAAATGTGATTTCGAGCATTTTAAAATTTTGATGCACGCGTACGCGCGCGTTATGATGCACACGCGTAAGATTAGGTTACATTACATTTAACATTGACTTGAAGTTAATGCTCACTTAATACGATTTCGAAATGGCAATTGGTTAGGCTGATATGATCGATAATGTAAAAACGCAAAATTGCGCGTAGATGACGTCACGCACAACTACGCACTTTGAAATCCTTATTGTGACTATTCCAGGCCAAGCTAAATGTTTGTTGAAGCGTGCATGTATGAATCTCGTGCCAATTTTTAGATATCGTGCTAACAAGAAATGGGGAGAACCTAGAATAAAAAAAAAAAAGATCTCTGACAATAACAAGAGGTGATCCACTAGCGGAGCGGATCACCAATAATAATAAGCTAAAAATAAAAATAATGATGTTGAGTCTTTATAGAGCAAATGCATTATCTTTGAAAGGTGTTGAAAGCTAAACATTAAAAATATGCGAAAAGAAACAGGAAACTCAAATATCATTACCTGGATTCTGTCATTAAATAGTTAGCATTTTAATTAACAGTTAGAATTTCTTCCTAATCTGTCAAGACCTTCCTACATCTTATTTAAGATTTTACTAACAACAGCGTTAAGTCCGGACCCAGCGACCTGTTTGGCCAAGGAGTGTGGACAAGGTTACCTTATACAGGCAAACCTATTGTCTAACCTTGAGAAGACCTGTAAACACACGAGTAAATATATCATCAATGTGGGCTTGGAAGGTTGGCGGAGGAAACCAAACCATTTACTACTCATTCAAAGAGGATACAGCACTTAAAAGTAATTAGATAATTATCTTAATAAATGATTTGAATAAAAGAACACAAGAAAATAAACCAAGCATATATAAATGAGTAGAATGTAGTTAGAAGTTCCTATACTGTGATAAAAAATCATCATTTATATTTAGCAATATTACATGTTCATGTGATAATACAGTTTGGTGTGTGCTCAATGCTTGCTGAAATGTAGACAAACTGAACTTTGCATCTGGTGATTGGAGGTGATAAAAGGTCGTATCCTTATTTACACCTCAACACCCTTCATGTCAATTAGTATGAAAAGAATGCTTCTTCACATCCTAATTGACACCCCTACTGTTAATTATAATGTAAAGGATTATTCAATTAAATCATTCACCCTTCATATCCATATTCTTTATCTTCTTCTTATCTGTTTTCGAGTACCAATAAAAAATTAAACCAGTAAAGTGAACAACATTTGCTCAATAATGCTTAGTCACATAATAGTACTTCTCTAACAAAGTTAATTTTACAACTTCATCATAACAAATCAGCTAATAATTTTTAACTTGTACACATGATTTATTATTTATTATTTTTATAAGAGTAAGTAGTGACAAGTAGTGAAACAACCAGAAAAAATGAATCGTTCTAAACTTGTTCATAGTTCATTTCACGGTGGTAGTGCATAGAGACTATAACCAACTTAAAAGCTCAATCTACTACCAAACAGAGTCCGCTTGCATAACCAAGTGGCAGTGTCAGCAGGGAGGGGAAAGGGGCTTATAAAGTCTCCCTGTTGGACAAACCAACCTCTCCATCAGCAACATCACATCGGACCATAAGGGGAAATTCTCTTTTTGAACAACATTATTTGTGCATAAAAAAGTTTTTCCCGCTGACAGTGGCTTAGGGGTTCGTTCACAATTATCGACATTTCGCAGGTGTACAAACAGTACGCTAGGGGGAAGGCAAGGGTAGACAAATTTGTACACTTTTATATACATATGAAATGTTGATTCAAAATTACACGTAATATTTCAAATAATAGATTTTTATGACCAATTATAATGCAACCATGGATGTAATATACATTTTGAAGTAATCAAGTACAGTACTTTAGTTGACTTCACAAAAAAAAAAAAATATTGCAAAATCAACATTTTTAATGTACACTTTCAGAGGGGAGGGAAGGTAAACTGTTTGTACACTTGCAAAAAAGTTGACAATTGTGAACGACTGCTTAGTCCCTGACATAGCTGGCCTTCACTGAAAAAGTAAGATTCTTACTTATTGGAGATTAGCCTTTCTGAATACTATATCCTACAGTAAAAATTATTTCATAATTATGATTTATTATTATTTTTATTATCTTTGGAGATAAACATAGAAAAACTGTCAAACAGTGGATCAACTAGTAGAAGTTTACTATAATGTAGGACCTCACTTCCATTAAAAAAAAAAATATATATTTATAGGTCAAATTCAACCTTGGCACGAAAAGTCATGTTTGATATTAGACTAATTTTATAGATTATTTTAAAATTACAGGCAAAATTTACAGATGTTTCAGGATATACTCATCTAATTATAGAAACAGTTGAAATCAGAATGGAAAAAAAAAACTAAAAAAAAAAGTACAGTCTTCTAAGCAATTAAGGAGTTAATAAATTTATCTTTCCACAACATTTAAGGTTTGAGTAGAACTGACAATAACAGGTGATTTCTGGGTAATTTTGGGCCGGCTTCTCTCACCAGTCTTCAGCTTTCCTTATGGAACCTTGACCAAAAGGGCTTAGCAGCTATCAAATCAAATCAAGCCAGGCCGTCTGTGAAGTGGACAGTCGGCATAGAGGACCATCAATAAGGGCCTACTGAGTGATGAGATAATTTCGAGGAAATTTACAACGGTCTGCGTTAAATAGTTTCCCATCAGCACAGATCTGTAAAAGATAGCATGGTTGGATTCCTCCATGGAGAAAATTTAATTTCAGACACCCCCAAAAAAAAACCCATTGGCAGAAACTGCTCATTGATAAGGGAAGTTTGTGGTACTGCTGAAGGCATGAGTTGATGAATGAATAGGTCTGCAGACAGATATTAGTTGAAGTTATTATTATCAGCTACTACACTAATCGTTTGTGTGGTCATTCAAGTGTAAGTGAATTAATTTGCCCATGTTCAGCTAAATCTCTCAACTTGATTGTTTTACTTTATTAAGCTATCATTTTTATATTTTATACACTTGTCTAATTTTATTGAAATAGTACAATCACACCCCTCCTACCCACAACCTCAGATGTTTGCTTCTGCCACACCCACACTACCACCTGCTTCACTGCTTCAGTCACAGCACAGCTTTACTTTATAGCATAACCACAGTGAATACAATTATAATTTACAAAATTTTACACATTCTACTAAACTCTGAACTTAATCTAGATTTAATTAATTCTTACTTACTAATTCAAAACTCTTTACAATGCAAATTATACTTAATGTTTTGTTATCAAATAACATAAAAAATAAATAAATATAATTATATAACCAAAGGCATATCTTACCAAGTTTGTCAAGAAGTAAAGTTCAAGAGAAAGGAAGATGATGAAGAAGATAACACTCCAGCGTGAGTTGTGGTAGGCTGGCATCATCACATCTGGGTAGCTGTGATGAAGAAAATACAAAGGGTTTGGAATTGGATACACAGAACAGGCAATGAAAGTTGAGGTCTTTGTGGTGATGAAGTGGGTAACACACAAGGAAACAATCCCCTGCTCTTTCCTGAAGAGTGTACCGCATATTGTTATTACACACATTGGTCATATTGTAAAAGGGACTAACGGTTTAACGTCTAGTTACAAAAATTAGTATCCTTTTCGCAACTTGCATTTAAGTCCTCCAGCTGAAACAAAAGTTAACAATCCTCCAGCTGAAACACAAGGAGAGTAGATATGTTGAACCAGGAACCAATGGTCTTTGAATAGGAAACACAGGGTCTGAAAGGATCTCCACGGTTCAGCGCACACACAGTGGATACCACCAATTTAACTGACTGAGCTAAGATACTCTCTAATAATAGTCTTGTTTGCATGCATATTCCCAAGTGATGATGCTCAAAATCAAATAAATATTAAACTCAATAGCAAAGTTTAATAATGAAAATAATAATACAATATAATAGCATAATAAATACAAAATTAGTACTTTACTACAAAATATAAATGGTATGAAAAACTGAATTAGATTAAAAATAGGAAATGAAAAAGTAAATATTACTTGGTATTGCATTTTATACCTGTTATGAACAAACAGTGAAGCATGTTATGTAAATATACATAGCAACTACAAGTGTTATAATCAATGCCTTATGTGCAAGGCAACGTTGGAATAACTAGACAATAAAAACTTACTTTGCTGTAGTGAACAAAACAAATAGGCTTATAATACTGTCTGAGATTGTGCTGAAATAGCTGTTGTCAGCCACTGGGGCAAACAGGTAGAATCCTGTATAGAGAAATGAAAACATATTACACAACAATAATTATTGACCAACACTTTGATTTGTCCTTCTTATCTGTCTTTTTCTTTTCCTTTTGTTGATGTATTTCTGGCAACTGCCTTTTCTCCCCTTTTCACTCTTTTTCTATATTTATCTGGAAAGTGTATAGAGGCTCCAATGGTATGTACCAACCATTAATAATAATAATAATAATTCATATTACGGTTTTTATAGATTGGGCTTTTTCTTTTTTTGTGAAATATTAATGTTGCCTTTAATACAAATCAAGATGCAGTGGGTCTAAAACCCTGGTTCTTAATTGATTTATTTGAAGGGCCAAATTACTTTTAAATTTGATGTCACGGGCCAAAGAAAATCTTCAAGTTTCAAGCAACTTGTTATTCATGAACCTAAGGTAAAATTCTGAGATGATATGGCTGAAGCCCCCTGTTGTGACCGCACAGACCTTTGAGGTTTTTTGGCAATTTCAATTCTATATTGCACTACAGCGCAATATTAGGACACTCATTACAATTTTTGCACAATAAGATTGATAAGATATTTTGCCAAAATAATTAAGACACTTAATTTTTCGTGCTTGTGTAAAATCATTACAAAAAAATTTGGCCAACAGCAGGGGAGGAGCGATGTCCCAGAACCTCTGGGGGTCCAGAGGGCAAAGCTCCCGAAACTTCTAACAATTTAGTGATCTTGAATGCTTCAAAGGCCCATAATCGATCTTACAGCCTTATATTCTTGAAAAGTTACATGATTATTTTTCCCTAAAAAATGTGTTGAGTTCTCCTCTGTTAGCCTTACACATAGTTTGATTAGATTTCCCTTTCCAGAAACACTCTCTTTCAATCCTAACAATATTCCAGCCAGTGGCGTCACAGAGTTTGTGGGGCCCTGGCGGTGACTGTTATTACTGTTACTACATTTCTTTTTAAACTTTCCCTTGTTTGTGATGGGTGCCAAGAAATTGTTAATAAAATAATTTAAATACAACAAACCTACCTAACACCGAAAAGATGATGAGAAAATAGAATAAGAGAACCATCATATCAACGATTGGAGGAAGGGACTGGAATATCTGACGCAAGACACGACGAACACCTCCGAGAAAATGACAGTCAATAAGGAAGATTGGCCGAAAGGCCCGCGTCACACGGAAATGCGATGCCTGCCTTATAATTACAACGATAGCTTCCAGATACATGATGAACAAACAAAAGGCCTACAAAATAAGAAAGACATTATGCAATTAGTTTCAATTTTGAAATTATTGTGGTTCCATTACTATCTTTAGCCATTTTTATATACAAATGTAAACTTAATGTTGTATAATAGTTTAAGAAATTGCAAATATTAATTTATTGTATATTCTTTGTTAATGTAAAGAATTCTCTGGATAAATTTTATAATATATTTTTCTACGACTTCTAAAACTTATGTATAAAAAAAACCTTCCATGTAATGTTGGAATTTTAAAATTTCATTTGATGCCTTGAAGAACCCTCGATAGTGTTTTATTTTTGTTTATCCATAGAGGGCATTTTATATTTTATATATTTTTTACTTTCTCCTAAAACGTAATAAATAAAAATAAATAAATTAAAGTAGATTTTAACTCTTAGTTTTTGTGAGATGGTTGCCTATTGGTTAAAATCACAATAATGACAATAACAGTAACAATAGCCGTAATTAAAATAATCTGGAAACCTACAGAAATAATAAGTTAATCATTAGGGAAGGACTGATTAATTAATCATAATAATTATAACATGATTCATATAGACAATGATATATGATATAACAACAATAATAATAACAAAGAGTACCTTCATAGCAGTTCTCTTGTGAGTGAAGAACTGTTTCCAGCCAAGCCATCTGAGTTTCATACCAAGACCAAGAGCAATAATTGACAAACCAAAGAGTTCCAACGAGCCATGAACCTAAATAAAAAATACAATGCTGCAAAAACTAATGTATGAGAAATGGCATAAAATTAGAAAGATGATAATATCTATATTTTAAACAGGCATAATTTAGGATCACACACAAATAAATGTGAACATGCACCAATATTCCATATTAATCACACACACAAAAATAAGTCTCTTTTTATAATTAATTTTCAAAATGACAACATATAAATTAAAATGTATACTCTAAATTATCCAATAATTGTAATAGGACTAATAATTATTTCTTTATTATACAAATATTTAATTAAATTAATTTTACTAAGGTTATGTATTTTATTCCTATTGAATACTTTGTTGGTAATAAGGGTCCAAAATGCATTTGCTGGATAGGTCAACTTTGCAAAACCATAGTTGAACACTTTCAACAGAACACAATGAACTTCTTTCATTATTTAAACAAATCACTGTGTAACCCATTCACTTTTCAACAATTTTAAAGCCCACTTACATATTCTGTGACCTCAAAAATATCCACAGCTGGAGCTTCACACAAAGCCAGAGCCATAATTAAAATAGAGGCAAACAGCTCTATGAGATAAAACCAAATATTGTGTACAATTAAGTAGGCAGGCAGGGCATCTTGGGTCTGTGGATGAGTCTCAAATCGTTCGTTATTTTCCCCCTCTTGCAGGTAAATGGCAGCCTCCTGGTAGTTGAGCTCCCAGCGGTACTTGATCGCGTCGGCTCTTGTGTTTATACTTGGTTCGTCATCTTCATCCTCCATGATTCCTGTTGAGATATAAATAAAAGTTTGCTAAGTTCATTATTAAAAAGCAATCCTTTATAACTGAAGGCGCTGCACTGTGGCAAACAGAAGCTTTGGCAAACTTCATGATTATTAAATATCGTTTTGCAAAGTATTATTATGTTTGGAGACAGATTGAGATCTTACTTGCTTTTAGTTTTATATGTGTGAATTTAACGTCACTTATGGCTAAGCCTACCAGGTCTAGGCCAACTACAATTACCTACTTGCCCGACAGTTTTTCGCAAGGTATCAAGCCAAGAAAAAGGGGTGTCAGAAGTGGCATCAGGAAATGTATGCGAAGAAGAAAATCTAAATTACTAGTGCCATTTATTATTTTGGGAAATGTAAATTTGTTACCAAATAAAATCGAAGGGGTGTGGAAAGTTTGTGTTTTACCAAAATATGGTTACATGACAGGATCCTGGATAGTGAACTAGAAGTAAATAATTTTGAAATTGTCAGATTGGATAGGACTTGTCAAACGGGTACGTAAGAAGAAAGGTGGTGGAGTGGGGGCGAGGAAATGCAAGTCTTTACCTGTGTTGAGTGTTAAATATCCACCTGTACTAAAAGCTAAGAGTTAAATAACCTAAGGTCCATAATAATTACTGTCCAATATATAACAACATATACAGTAATTAAATGTCTTTGGAAAATAATGGTTAAAGCACTGATGGCCCAAGCAAATCATTACATGGACCCATTACAATTTGCATATCATAACAAAAGAAGTGTTGAAGATGCAGTGTTAGTACAATATGTACTGTACTCGCATCTGGATAAGCTAGGGGGATATACAGTATTAGATTGCTGTATGTGGACATTTTTAATGTGTTTAACACTATTGTGCCAGAGATGATGATATAAATAAACTTGGGAGAATAATATAAAACAACTGTTAAATGGGTTTACAACTTTTTGAAACCTAAGACACAGTGTGTTAAAATTAAAAATTAAAATTTCTGACAGAGTTGTTACAATGGGTACTGTACACCACAAGGGTCAGTGATATCTCCCGTTCTGTTTGCAATATTTACAACTGATTTTAAATTATTATCAAACGAATGTTGTATGGTTAAATACGCAGACGGCACAGTATTAAGTGGTTATATATTAACTAATGAAACTGAAAGACTATATATATACACATTACTATCAGAGAGTTTATTGATTGTTGTGATAACAACAATATGAAACTCCAATACAAGTAAGACTAGTAAAGAGTTAATGATAAGATTTTAGCAAAAAAATGTAATAATGTTGAGCCTGTAATCATTAAAATCACAGAAATAGCTGTGGTCACTGAATATAAATACCTAATGTAGGTTGCCTTTTTGATAATAAACTTAATTGTAAAAATTATACAAATAAACTAGTAAGTACTGTAAGAGCCAACAAAGAATGGAGATTCTGTGTAAAATGAAGTACCCATGTACATTGATACAACTACAGTACATTAAGAATATTCTCTGTGGGATGAGTGTTCTGATGTATCGTATTGTTTGTATCTTTGGAAATATGACCCAGAAAGACAAAATGCGCATAGAGAGAATAAACAAAAGTGCAAATCAAATTATTGGTGTTAACATGATGAATCTGGATTTTGCTTTTAATGAGAAAATGATTACGAAAGTTAAAGATAATGAATGATAATACCCATCCACTGTATTCTAATTTTTATGATTTACTCAGGTATCAGATTACTGTAGCTCCACCTATGTCGAAAGCTACGAAGTTTAGACCGTCTTTTGTATCAAATACTATATATTTAACTGCTTTACCTTTTTTGCTTATAATGTATAAAACACATGCAATCATTTTACACTATTTTAACCTGGTCTTGCTTTTTTTTTTTTCAACATAAATGCAATACTACAGTATTTTAATGCATTACCTGCTCTTAGTATTTTATCATTGTACAGTGTTATAATAATATTCCTAATACTCTTTACTATATTTTACTGTACTGTTTGGAACATTTTAAAAGTATCAAGTATGTTTTTAACTATTTATGTTCTCATTTGGTCATTTAGCTTCAAAATACATTTCTGTTGTATTAATTTATATGATGATAGACTGAATAAAATGAATTGAATTGAATATCCTTGACCTCTAGATAAAAACCATTGTTATACTATGTATTGGTTTTCTGGCAAATGTGGCATATCTAAAATTATTGAAAAAGCAGGCTGATGGATGGGAGGTGTGGGGGGAGTGGCAGGGAGATGAATAAATGTGAAATGGGTGTAGGGCCTTAGGGTTAAGTGAGCAGATGTAGCTGGAAAAATATGATGCTACTGTATGAGTACTACTTTAGTTGTGGGGAAGGAGGAGCACCTGGGGTCTACACTTTCTTTATCACAAAATTACAAAACTCAATTCAGCTGTATCATGTATTATATCAATCAAGTCATATACTTTGCTATACAAAAACAACAAAAATCAAAATAAACTAATTAAATAAGGCAGGATTACCTGAATATCAAAAAAAAAAAAAAAATATCCAAGAGGCTCTCCAAAAAAAACCAAAAAAACTTTACATCATGGACATATTAACATTTCAGATACAAAAAGAACATTAACGCCCGTATTCTTAAAAACGAACTTTAGTCAAACTTCGAACTAGAACTTCATTATAGTCCTAGCTGCAACTTAAACTTAAATTTGTATTTATAAACAGCATAGTCAAAGTTCAAACTACAACTAAATCAAGTTCTAGTTTTAGTTCAGCTTAAGACGGCTGGCAAGCAACAACTATCACACTTACCAATGAAAAGAGCTTAAAATGTGAAATTAAATAGTATCTTTAGTTTAAAATAAATCAAAAACATATACATTAATTAATTTAATATACATACAGTAATTGATTATTTTAATATCGGAAGTTAGATTAGATTAATGATTTTTTTAAATTTATTAATATTTGCTGAATTTCTATACTCATCATTTAAATTATTCCATAACTTAGCACCATGGTAAGTTAAACTTCTTTTTCTATATTCTGTTTTAGGTTTTTCAGTATACATCTATTGTTCTTGTATTGATAATTGTATTGTAGATTTCTTAAGGTAAATCTGTTCCTAAGATATGATGGTGCTAAATCATGAAATAATACATATGATACCAACATATTTCTTTTAACACAAATAAAATACTTCTACAACTTTTTTAGGTGGCGACCCTCTCTAGCCTAGGCCTGCATACACTTTCCCCAGGCTAACGACAAGGCCTTCCCTAGCTAGACGCAGATCTAGGCCTGGGTGGGGTGTGTGGATAACTTAAATGAAGGCTCTACGTCAGCTTACTACGTCAATCCATTCTTACCAACCAATGAACTTAATTAAGCCCCTCCCCATTTACACTAGACACTGCGCGCATCTTTATTGTGCCGTAATCGTGTCTAGGTCCCATAATATGGGCCATATAGTGAGTGTAAACGGGGCTTTCCTTTAGACAAGGACAATCGGACCGTCACGTCAAATAAATGCTTGAATGAATGGGATTCTTGGGCCTAAGCCTAAACATTCTCATGGTTTTTAATTAACTAAACTTACCAAATACACCATCACTTCGTTCGAGTAATGGACTTTCTAATTCACGGTCTTCTGTCCCAGCCATTGTAATCTACATATGAAATAGAGAATACTGGATTTTATTTAGACACAGACTAGACACGGGCGGACGGGCGGTCTCCGATGTTTACAAAATATTCACAAAGTCAAAGTTCAATACTTCCTGACATTTGACCCGGTCACATGTAAACGCTTAGCAACAATCACTAAGAACGCAATGGAATCCTGAAAATCAATCCACTTTTACCATACGTTATCCACATTTTGTTCCACTTTACCCAAAATGCCAAACAAATTCAACCTATAACTACGATCGTGTAAAAATATTATGTGTGAAATATAAAGTTTCTTTTAGTAGGATCCGGTATTTTAAAAATCTCCGAAAATGAGAGGCCTGATTAGGCTAGGCCTAAATAGTTCATGCGCATTTATACACAATAATTATTGAGTGAAACCGTTCAGATAAACAAACCGAAACGAGGTAGATGAAGAAGGGAATAACGTTTCAAGCTGGGGGAAAAAACATCATAATCTTTTGTTTAAATTGTTTTTAAATTACTGCAAGTGAGAATATTTATAAATTTGGTGAGGTAAGGAGAAAACTTAACTCGGACAAGATGTCGATCGCAGATATGGCAGTGATGGAAACGTTCAAATTACTGAACCAAGTTCGGTCTCAGGGACCACGGACGGAGAAGGTCGAAATTGCACAGCTAAAACCAACTTATTATAGGCCTAGACCTCCGCCAAAGGAAAAACAACAAAAAATTGATCCATTGCGCGTTCTTGATCCAGCCAGAAAGAAACTGACAACTGTTGAGTCTCAGAGAGTTCTTGCATCGTTAGACGAGAGCATTAAACGAGCTGAGATTGTCACATTACTGCCATTTATTCAGCAAAATATTGACAGATTTAATGTTGTTTTGGGTTCTGAACTGATGAATGCAATCCAAGAACACATACAGTTACAGGAAGCTTACCTAGAGAAAGCCTGCCTCCTAAAAACCAATGACAATATTTCAAGAACAGGATCTAAAAGTGAACGATCAACACCATTTTCTCAGAGAAGCAGAGATTTATCGCAGCATGAAGGAAGTCGTACTAGCAGTGCTGTTAGTCAGGCAAGTGGAGATGAATCTAAACCAGAAGACATAGAATCCACAGCAAATGTTGACAAGGAACTCTTACACAGTGTGAGGCTTCTTGAGAAGCATTTGCACTTCTCTTGCAAAAATATTCTGCGACTCTTCAGCATGAATCCAGCTGCTGTAAAAGCTATCAGATCCGAGGGCCAGTTTAGAGATGACCAGTCTGATGCCATGATCACATATTTGATTGAGCTAAAAGAATTCATCCTGGAAAAGCTACTGACCACACCATTAGAAGAAGAAGAAAAGAAGAAATATGTTACGGAAATAACAGTCCGAGAAAGAAAAAATGCAGAAGTGATAAAAAAATTAGAAGCAGAGTTGCAAACAGCTGTGGATGAAAAAGATGAAGAGGTTGGTTATGCAAATGACCAGTGTGAAAACTATTAATTTTATAACAAACAATAATAATTCAAATCTTTAATTAAAAAAACAATTATATTGTTTCTATATTATACAGATTACAAAGAGGAATGATGAGATCCGGAAGTTGAAAGGTGATTTGCATCAAATTGAGAAGTTTTCCGAGGAACACATACGGAGAACAAAGACAGAAGCAGAAAAACAGCAGCAGGCTGACATGAAGAATTCTGAAGGCAAGCAGTCGAAGTTGACAGCTGAACTACAAGCGTTGAAGACACAGCAAACTAACTTGATCGCTGAACATCGCAAGAGTGAATTAGCCCTAAGAAAGGTAGTGCAAGACTACATACAAGATTTTAATTTTATTGTGTGTATGTGACCAAACACAATTAGTTGTTTAGTACTATTTCAGATGTATCCCCAAAAAAATTATATTCTTAACAAAAATATTTGAGCGATATTAATAATATATTTCATTGACCCTTCAGTTGATAAGTTCATGAAGTTGATAATTATAAATGAGCAATTCAGTGTTGTAACACGTGCTGCCGATTGCGCTACTGTAGGGACGACTAAATTCAGAATAACATTCTACTGTAGACTTAATGGCTGGTAATTCGGGGAGGATACACCTAGACGATAATGTACAAATAACAGATGTATATTTGTTGTGTTATCTTGCTCGTTTGTACGAGTGGGGGCTCCCTTGGAACATATACCAACCCATGCAAAAGCGGACGAGAAAACACCTGGCAGAGACAATACAAAAATGCTGTCCCAGTGCTGGGGACAAGTTTACTCGTCCCCTAATATTTTCCTGCCAATTTATTAGACACCATTTTGATGATATGTGACTAAATAGAATTTCCAAAAAGTATGTTTGTACATATATATTTGTTCTGACACATGGGAAGGAACCTAAAAATGTCTGGCAGTCAATGTGATATTTGCCTTTTTTAGCTTATTTCCAGATTTCACTGCTGACAAAAAATATATTTATTTTAATAATATAGAAATTTATATAGCGCCATTTGCCAAAAGATACAAGGCGTTAGGTAAAGGTTTATTGTAGAGAAGTAGGATTATTAAGGAAATAAGTGTGCTTTTTTTAAAGATACAATTTCACAAAAATCAGTGAAATGCCGCGAAAATACCAAAATACCTATTTAATGGAGCGCCTTGTACGGCTGGAGATAAGCAAACTTATGTAACCTGTGTAAACTGTCAAAAAAGATATGGCGATATGAAGGATAAAGAAAAGCAAAATATTGTATGGATATTTAAAAAATTAAGTGTTTGGATAAATTTTATAGACAAATAAATACCAGTAATTTGTCAAACTTTAGAAAAATTCAATTCAAGCGCGATGCGCATTAAATCCTACCTGGATACGCGTATTGCAATGAACTGATTGCCCATAACTTAAAGAGAAGGGTGCTGTGTCCGGAGATGCGTAAAAGCTACGAGTTATTTCCGCTTCAGTTTTTGCTATGCGATTGTGAGAGCTCTATCTTTTGTTTCTACTACTGTAGTGTCTACTGTGCAGTACAAAATAATAGACAAGTAGTATACAACACTTAGTGACTAATTTTAGGCCACTTGCCAGTAATTTATTCATCAGGTGAGTCACATGATCAACAACCTCATCAGACGAGTCACATGATGAATCTGGAATAAATTACTGACGGGAGTTAATGAATACATTTCACCTGAAGTTAGTCAAACAGTGCTAACTTGGTTATTATTACGATTACATGATTTCAAGCTTGTAAATCATTCATACGGCATCCTACATAACAATAAACAAAATATGAATCTAAAATAAATTAATACTTACTAAACAATACTTTGAGATATTATATTACAGTAACACTGTGTCGTTATTACTTTAATTTTATTGGATGCTTGTAATGCAACTCCTGTATTTGAAATCAGTGATGCCAAATCCTAATCATATGTTTATCATATTTATTGTGTAATGTGCAGTGTTTGTGTTACTGTATTGCCAGCTGGTAAATCATACCATATGACATGCTATGAGAATAAATGAAATCTGAATTAAATTAATACTTTCAAATATAAGATACTTCCATTTAATATTACATTCTGTATGCATCATTACTACTGTATATTTGATTAACTTATGAGTCAGTCTTGTGATGCTTGTTAATAAGTATAATATACAGTATTGATTTTCTGTCTAACTGGTGTTTATTATTTTTTTGCAGAGAAAGTATAAGATTGAAACTGAAGTGGAGAATTGGATCCAAAAGTATGATCAAGATATGGGTGAAAGACAGGTAAGTGAAATTTAGGATGTTTAGATAAAGTTGTTCGTATTACAGGCCTGTAGGCAGGATTTTTTTTAAGGTGGGTGGGGGGAGGGGAGGGTAGGTGCATTTGAGAGTGGCTGCGTCCAGGGGCAGAGTAATCTGCAATCACCAGAGCTGATTAATTTCCAAAAAATTTCATACCACAGTGGGAAATGAAATCCCCCACCCTGCCCATGGGCCTGTATTTACTTGTTGATTGATTACTTGAATTGAAGGTCTGTTTACCTACAGTACAATATATGCCTCAATGGGTTCATTAATCATTAAATAATTTGAAAATGATATTCATAGGGGGTAGTTTAAATTACTGTTCAATGTTTTACATTATGCACTCAATCTGATTTTTTGTAATTATTTAATTTAATTTATTTCTTTAATTTTAGAGCTGTATTATTTACTTAGATAAATGTGATGATATTGTGTAGTTAATATTTTATTAATTACTTGTTTTTGTATTCCACCAAGCTCTGTTAAATTTTGCATTTCTTTGTGATAAATTTTGTGCTTTCCCTTTGATGAAATACATAAAATAGAAGTGAAAAAAGAAATAATGCTCTATCTTCAGAAGCTCTGAAGCAAAAAAAAAATAACCTTCATTATATTGATTTGATTTGATTTATATTATTTTATAATTATATATATATATATATAAATTATATATTTATAATTCTATTTTTATTATAGGATGAGTATGAAGATGTTGATGCTGTCTATACTGAGGAGAAATCACAACTGAATGAGCTTGAGGAGAGGTTTAAGACTCTTGAAACAGAATACACTACTATTGTAGAGGAGCGTCGCATTGCAAAAGAGAAGAAAGAACGAGAGGAACGAGAACTGTCTCTGATGATCAAGGCAGCCACCGTTGTGCAGGCTTTCTGGAGGTCTTACAAATGCAGAAAGGCTCTTAAAGCAAAGAACAAAAAGAAAAAAGGAAAAGGAAAGAAGAAAAGTGGAAAGAAATAAATAATGAATAGCATACAATTGACTCACTTTGTAAATAATGTAACTACAGATGTAAATTGCATAGTTTACAACTGATCGTTTATTATGAACTCAAATTATATCACCTGTATATTTAAGTAATTTTAGAAAGTCAGTATTTGAAATATTCCTGAAAAGGTTTCCTAATTAAAAGCTTCTTGTATGTTAACAACAGAAAGAATGATTTTATTTTGTTTACTATTCATTAATAAACAAATGTTTCAAGAGGCTACAGCCATGGCTAGACTATCAACTTTTATTCGACAAAACATGTGATGCCTAAATATGGCCATGAGGACAGTTCATCATGACCATATATAGGCACATCATGACTACATATGAGCATACAATAATTATTATCACAGGAAAATTGATAGTGTGGACAGAGCTTAACCCTTTTAACTAAAGCTGTGTTCGCATTGGACGAATGCTAACTTAACCTGGGCTAAATTGCATCGCTGTTCACACAGCAGCATTACAAAGACCTTTGCTGAAAAGTATTGGCAACACAAATGGCCTGGCGGTTCAAATATTTGACTTTGACCATATAACTGTCTAATTTGAAATTATTAAATTATTTGAGCATGCACTTGAAATGTGGAGACTGAATCAAGATTCAAACGTTTGGGTGCTCTATTAAGTTTATACCTACAATATCACGCTGTTTGCATTGGGCTTTTCTGCTTGGTGTAAACAATCTGATTTTTTTTTTCTGAGTGTGGGTGGGGTGGGGGCAGGGGTGTTCAAACTGTCCATGTATTGCTTAATATGACCCACAATGTCCAGTCCAATAGGGCTGAAGCCTACTCTAAAGGGCTTGAAACAAAATAACATACCAAATTTCAACACTGGAAAAATTGATTTTAGTAAATTCGTGGAGGTATAAAATGCAATAATATATAATGGTATTTATTCAAAACAGCATTTATCCAAAACAGAATTAAAAACATAATACAAGGCAGCCAAGACTGAATTGCGAATTATATTACTGTACATAAAAAATGAGCAAACAACAGAATTATGGAAAAATTACAAAACAACTAAACTTTTAATATAGGCCTACAGCATTGCAGTAATAGAATCAGAATCGTATATTTAATAGCAAATAAATCGTAATCGACTTGCAAACGTTTGAAGTATAAATACATTATATATCCTATCTAAAAGAAATGTATCAAAATTCATATCAATTAAAAATTAAATATCGATAATTGCCGTATTCATTAAAGGTGATTGAAATATATGTTCAAAATGTGGAGACAAATAAACTGGACCTACGAAAATCGCTACTGAAGTAGGGGCAAGACAACTAGGAGATCTGCAACGATTTGAACATGGATTTTTGGCAAATAACTTCGCATAAAGAATTAACAATTTAATCTGATATGTATGTGTAATTATAATTTCTCGAGGAAAGAAAGTCGGAAATGAGGAATAATTCTGAGTCAATATTTCATCCAGTAGCGAGGCTTTCTTGTAATCTTTGAAGGATGTTACTAATTTTCTTATGTTGGTACTTCCTTAGATCCCAAGTTTGTGATAACGTTTTGTTTAAATTCCGTCACGAAAATAAACATGATTTTATAGCGGAGTTGCTGCGGATCTTATTTTGGATTTTATGCTTTTGTTTGAGGTACGGTAGATTGGGAAAAAAAATCTTAGCTCTGTGAATTCATCTGTTACCAGCGCAACGTGCGTAAACAATCTAACTTCGCGTCACTTTGGAAAAAGAGTAAAATGGTATACGCCCATTTTTTACGCTAGCGTAGGATGACGTCATTTACAACCTGTTGCCTATGTTACCGAAAGCTAACAATGCGAGATTCTAATAAGAACATAGATGTTCCATCAACGGTAATGATGGGAACGCATATAACCAAACCATCTCGTAAAATGGCATCCCAAATACAGCATTACGACTTGTTTAGTAAAGTACCAAATAAAGTAAAAAATCACTTCGAGAGAACCAATTACAACCAGTCACCAGATACGTCAACAATTGAAGATCTTCGTATAGCCATCATCAGAGGTGACTTTGATCAATGTAAGTCTATTCTTCAGAATAATCGTAGGATGGAGATTGAAAATTGTCACGATACTGATAGTGTTTCTGATCCGCTACTGAAAGTCAGTCATTACGACGAGTGTTTCGGACCATCAGGGTTCCATTCACCAACAGCAGAGAGTGTTCGTGAGAGCTCGCCTCTGCACGTTGCCATCGTGTATCGGCGTCCGAAGATCATCCAACTACTCCTTCAGGAAGGCGCCAATCCCAATGCATTAGACAGACATAACAGAACGCCTCTGCATTTAGCCGTTCTTTATTGGCCAAGAGGTCTTATATCGTATGATGGGATACCTGACGATTGCTCTCCAGATATGTTGAACTACGTGGAGTATCTAAGGCTAATAGATCGTCGCTGCTGTGCGTCTGTCGAGCACTTATGTTTGCACGGTGCAGACCTCGATGCAAAAGTTGATGGGAGGTACACGCCATTACATTGGGCATGTAAATACAATGTACCTAATGCCATAAAAACATTACAAAGATGTGGTGCAGATTTAGAGTGTCGTGTTGACGACGAAGATGGTCAAACACCTCTCCTGGTTGCAGCTCAAAATGGCAGCATGGCTGCAATTGAAGCGCTAATTGGATGTGGTGCTAATTTGATGTCGAAATCGACGAAGGGATGGACTGCCCTCCATTACATATGCCACTTCCCTTTTAATCACAAGGAACACATAGTCGGGATATTGCTTCAGTTTGGACTAGATCCAAATACAAAAGACATCTACCAACGAACACCAATGCATTTTGCTGCAGAAAAGGGTCTTGACTACACTGCAGAACTGTTACTACAATTTGGGGGTAACGTCATGAGCAAAGATTGCTACGGCGTCAGTCCAATTCAAGCATTTCTCAATAACCCTTGCAACATACAAAAACCTGGTTTACTCATTGATTTGATGAATGAAGCTTCGCAGTTTAACATCGATCAAGGGAACATTCCTCCGCTGCTGGCGTCACCGATGTTGACACCAGTGAAAGACGTCTTGTTAAAGGAATCCCGACATCCAGCCTCATTACAACGTCTGTGTCGTTGTGTCATTCGCCGATGTATACGTCCAATGCCAATTGACCGAGAGAGCTTCCAAGACTGGCTGCCGTTGCCTCGCTACCTCCAGGACTGTATTCACTCTGACCTTCATATAATGGACGTTCCATGGGCTGAGTCGAGCAGGGTGGCTTTTGATACACTATTTAAAAATCCTGATAATATATAACCGCTTTATGGAGCCAATAGGCCTTTCTAATTAAAAAACGATTTTAATGAGCCGTAATGCTATTTTCAATTAGTATTGTCATTTTGTTTATTCTTTTTATATAATTTTTATCATCATTAGTGCCTCAACCAACCCACCAGGGGTTATGGGATTGAATGAATGAATGAATGATACTTTTTAATCTTGGTAAAAATATCATTTTGGTGCTTTTATGCATGCTTACATGCGGTTTTTTTTAATTTATTTATTATTTTTAAGAAAAGTACCAATAACTACTATCGAGCTGCTTTTAATGTGATCATGTTTATTTTTCTCATTAAATATCAAAGTAGGCCTAGGGCTACTATACATTTTGCGTCACTTTATTTTCAGATGCCCCGTCGGCCACCATTGAACTAACGGTAGACATCCCCATTTACATGATTGACCAATACTTTAAGAAATTTGAGCAGCATCTGTGGCACCATTTTGCCTGAAATAATCATGACAGGTTGAAATAATTGCTTATGCCAAAAACATTTAAGAATTACAACTTCTGTATAGACACGCCCTCTCTTGGTTAATAAACGTCGTTAGTTGGACGTTTAAAATCAAAAGTTACAAGACTAGTGTCATGTACGTTCTGTTCTAGTTATGTACATTTGAATATAAGTGAACTCAAACCATAATTTTCTATAACTTGTAAACTTCATAACTTCAGTAAATATTAACATTAATTAAATCCTCGTAACATTGTATCTTTCATTAAAAAATAATCTTCATTACTTTTTGAGAGGAAATTAGTTTGCGATGGGGTATTTGAAATAAAAATATAGGCCTACTATAAAACCCATAAAACGTTTGAAGGCTGATATAAATAATTGTGTTAATTATGGAATCTGTGACAGTGTAAAGAATTGCTTTTATAATAATAATATTAATACAATTATTAATTTTAAAAAAATTGTAATTTACCATACTTCATGCTAAATTCTGGATGCCAGTGTGTACTGTAATTTGTTTTCAATTTTAATTGTGAGTTTTTAATGTTTTTTAATTTACTTTTTCTCTTCCACTTGGTGGGGGTTTATGTTGAATAAATTGATTGATATATTAAATATATTTCATATTACTGTAAAGTAAATTTGAGTCACATTAAATAATTTATGAACCTATGTATGAATTATTATATTCATGTATTTGTATAAAGTTTTATAATGTTTCTATTTTTAAAATATAATGCACAAAAGCTTATCCGTATTGGTGTTAAAAAAATTAAATCAATCCCTTGTGTTGAGATCAAAAGTTTAACTTGGATTTTATAATTTAAATACTTTTTAATTGATGAACAATCGAACTTGTTAGATATGCAACAATCAACATTAAACATTTATAATTTTATGTATTCTTATGTAAAAGTTTGGAGTATTGTGTCGCCCGACGGAATTTTCGGCAGGGTTTTTAAGTCGCTCGCTTTCCAATCAAGATACTAATTCATAGACTGCACACTTCGTTACGTAAATCAACACCTAGCCTCATCTACTGGTCAACATCATGATAATTGCCATCATCAATATCATCATTGTCCTTGTCATCGCCTTCATCGTCGCCATCATCATCATCATCGTCATCATCATCATCATCATCATCATCATCATCATCATCATCATCATCATCCTCATCATCATCATCATCATCATCATCATCATCATCATCATCATCATCATCATCATCACCGTCATCATTATAACCGTTATCAGCATCACCTTCATCCTTATCATCATTACCATCGTCTTCATCGTCATTTCCCCCCTCATCACTATCATCCCCATCGTATCATTACCAGCAGCATCGCCATCACCACTATCATCGTCATTTTAATTGTAATAGTTGTCATCACCCTCATCATCATCACAAGCACAACATTGGTAATGTTTGCCTTCTACACCAATAAATATTGTTCGCACAGGAAATACATTGAGACGTTAGTCTCTTGCACGTGTAAATTACTATTAAAAACACATTCAAACCAATTATGAACTTACAGTAGGTTACAGACATCATAACAATTATTTATCTGCAAAAATACAAGGTTTTTCAATAGCTATAATATTGATTTGTTTTCATTGCCTCGTGGCGTAACTGTGTCACCGATTGTCTTAAATCGAAAAGTCCAAACGACTGACCACTGCAGTGTTGAACGCCATGTCAACGACGCAATTATGAATTGTTAAAGTTTGCACAAATCTACTGAAGGGTTTTGTTCATTGTTTTTTACATACTTTAAAGCTGTCATTTTAATCTGTTACATTGTTTTTAAAATGTATTAGATCAATCGATAATTTTTGACATACGGTGTCACTAGGAATTTCGTCCCCTTCCCGTGACTTCAGTCCGGACTTCTCTGTACATAACGTCACGACACGTGAATTCGGGGTTTACCTCACTAACTTTTCGTAGGCCTACTGAAGGGAAGAACGGGACCATGAGGCACCGGTGCCACAATATTATAAACTTGCGCGGCTTCTTTATAGGCCTAGTCCCTGTTTCCGAAGTGTTATTCTTGCCAAAGTGTAATGAATCTAATTAATTAAAACTAATCATCCGTAAACTCCTAATGGAAATAATTCTGAAATCTCCGTCATGCTGATTAATAGAATGCATTTGTATAGCAACAAAAATGTCAACAGTTTTACTTTATTTTTGGGAAATGAAGAAAAATTACGAAATGGTGACAAATGACAAAAAAATGTGTTTTTTAAAGGTTAGTTATACCACATAAGCATGAATCAGCGTTGATTTGGCACACGCATTGGTTAGTATTCAGCTTTCACACGCCCTGTTGACAAATCATAAATGACGGGAGGAATTACGCTCACTTTGCCTTATTTCTTGCAGTTTAAGTAGCCATCCAATTCAATTTTGTCAAAAGTTACTGGACAATGAATGACATGAACTTGATAGTGGACATCAGGTGCCGTCACACCCGTAATGGAGCCGCCGACAATGTCTGTACTAGCTCCCAACACTAACAAGCCGTCATCGGTAGTTGATTTTTATCTTCACCCGTCCGATATCATTACAACTACGCAATTTTAAAAATTTTACTAGATGTTAAACAGTGTGTCACAAACAGATAACAGAGTTTAGAAATCTATAAATCGTTAACGATTACAATTTAACGCATTAACAATATAGTTGGCAGAAGTGGATAGGCCGAGGTTGGGGTTTGTTTTTGTAAGTAGGCCCTATTTCAGTATTTATAGGGATTTTATAATCAGCGGCGCACACCAATGCGCCAAACAAAATCCAACCAAATAGAAAAAAATAAATAAACGAAATTACCAATTGTATCGAAATACTATTTTCAGCTCAAAATACGCTCGATCATGTCGTAAATATACATTGGAACAGATGTATCTTATTAATATTTTGATGTGTGTAGGCCGATACATAGAACTATTTCTGTGTGTATTATGATGTAGGTTGCATTGGTTACAATAATCGTGTCTTATTGATACAATATGATTTAGTAACTTAACAATTTTTGCTTGTGTATTTTGATTATTTTTATTTACAGGTAAATAATTATGCTAATAATTTTACAATATTTTTTCTAACGCATTGTATATCAATAACGAACTAAGTTTCTACCCCTTCCTAATGGTTGGGTCATCTGCTACTTGCTAAAGCAAGTTGCATCGCTTGTCCACAAGCCAGTCGATTGGATGTTTGAACCCCTGGTTTGGCAGCTCTCGGAAACTAAGAAAATTACACGCGCTTCCCGGCTAGGCAGACAACCATAATATAGGCCACCGAAGAAAAGGTCAAAACGAATACGGTTGGTTCAGCGAACTGATTTGATTTACAATGTGTATTCTTCCTTTAAAATTAACTGTTTTGACAAATTATAGAGAACAAATGCTAAGGGAAAAAAACATTAAAAACTTTCAAACAATTTGAGCGATTACAAAAAAAAATCTATACAATAATGGAGCATTCTTGAATATCACATTCAGTGCTGGATGTGAATAGTCCTGATGATGTTAGCTGAAGCAAGCAACTTAAAACCTACGTTAATATAATGGTTATACATAGTTTCCGACGTTTTAAATCTATTTTCGTCCTTAAACACACACATCACACGTAAACCATGCAAAATCTGTGTTGAATTGATGATTTAAAATTGATGCCTGCGACTATTTCATTTTATTTTATGATTTTGTGAGAAAATAACTTGTAATGTTATTCTTTAATACTATTTAAATATTTATAGTGGCACTGTTCATATAAAAATAAAATACATTTTCATAATTATTAATGATTACTAATTAATGAGCATAAATATATTAATACTTTTAAAATTGGCTCATGTAATACATTTGCTGCTATTTAACTTTTGCAGAATGTATATTTAATTTTTTATAGCCTAGTAAAAATGCACTTCATTTTGATAATGAAGTAACAAGGCCTATGCCGTGGTGTCTTCAGCTATTAGTTAACACTGACATAGGCCCATATTGATGTAACGAGTATTATTATTTATTACCGCATTTATTCGAATAAAGTGTTTTTTGAATGGGCGTTTATTCGAGGGGGGCGTTTATTCAAGGGAAACGGTTATTTATTTATTTTTGGTTTATTGATACGTATCAAATAAACGCCCCTTAATTTCACTGTAAATATGCTAAACTACAACATATACGACTTATTGATCCCAACCAGTAATACTACTGGAGTAGAACATTAATAAAATGTGTTGAGAATGACGTCGCTTCCATTAGACTTGTTTACAGACATTATGATTTAAGGGCAAAAGATCGTTTATGAGGAAGGCGTAGACGGGAGTTTTTCTTTTGTGTGGATACCACACCTTTATTCAAATCACACGGTTTTGTTTTTCATTCTTATTGTCATCACATTAAATACAGGATATCATAAATAAAGAATACCGTATTAAATAATTATTTTAAATATTATATAGGGCATTTGTCATTAAATCTCAATATACTGTAATATACTTTTTTTTTCTAAAATACTTAACTCTGAAAACTACAATGTTATTGTTTTTTAATTTAAATTTAAATGGTTTTTCATTTTAAGATTGTTTTAAGCATTATTACATTTCTGCTTTATTAGTTCATAGGCCTATGCATATATATATACATATATATATAGGCATATATATATATATATATATATATATATATATATATACACACACACGAGTGTATTTGGTGATATTTGAATCTGTTCAACCATGAAGCCTCTGTGGTCTAATGGTTATGACGCTCGCCTTGACAGCAAGAGGTCGCAGGTTCGAGTCCCGCCAAAGGAATTTTATTACACACACGTACTGTACCAGCATACATACATAGAGGGGAGTTTATTCGACGGGGCGGTGTGTATTCGAATAAATCAGTACGGTATTATTATATGGCTGCCGATATCTTTCTGAATACATAACAAACTATGTTTAATTAAGTTAATGAGTATAAAGCAACTCCTAATAATCGAACAATGCTCATCTTTCATTAGCCACAAATGGTCATCACACTATTTAGGAATTTGAGAAAAAATAAAAGGTACGCTCAAACAGCGTACAAAGTCAATAGGATAAGCGAGCTTTACACTATGCGAATTTATTCCTGCGACGCAAGAT